TACATAACAGAGGGCGATGAGATGCTTATTTCTTAAGGTTGTTGGGAGGATTCAACGATTTGATTTGTATGAAATGTTCAGAATGGTGCCTCACACAGAGCCAGTACCAAGCAACCATAAGCTGCTATTGCTATAAGGATTTTTATCCATGACTTAGAGATGATTTGCTTCTAATAAGCAGAAGTAGCATGGTGCAGCAGAAAAGCTTGGGTGTGGGAACGAGTCCATCTGAAATGACTTGACTAGGTTTCCTCAGGAAGTTTGCCTAATTATCATTTTCCCTATCAAAAAGGTGAGGAGGTGTGGCTCAGTGGACTGAGCACTGGCCTGCGAACCAAAGGGTCGCTGGTTCGATTCCCAGTCAGAGCACATGTCTGGGTTGCGGGCCAGGTCCCCACTAGGGGGCGTGTGAGAGGCAACCACACATCAACGTTTCTCTCCCTCTCTTTCTCTTTCCCTTCCCCCCTCTCTCTCTAAAAATAAATAAACAAAAAAAAATTTTTTTTGAAGATGAGGACTGTAACAAGAATGATCAAGCTGATTTGGTGAATATTCTATTCATTCTTAGGGCAAGTGGCCTGGTGGGATATTCTCCACAATCTTGAGGACAGACACGTGGCTTGACACCAATGCTGGGAATGGGGGCCTTGTTTTGCTGAGCAGGGGGCCGCTGAAAGGAGGAGAGAGCCAGGAAGGCATTTCCTCGGTGGCTGTGGGGAGGCAGAGCCTGGCCTGGGTTGAGGACAGGTGTGCCGGGGCCTGGTGTGGGGCGGGGGCAGTGGAGCACAGCAGGGACCAGTTCTGGGGCCTTGAAGCCTCAAGGATCACGTCAGACAGGTCGCAGCCAAAGCCGGCAGGTTCTCTAGGGCTTGGCTGCCCGAGATGGGCTGTCAAAGGGGTTCCTGAGACACGGAGCTCGAGGAAGGAGGAAGAGCCGATCAGAAGCAAAGTGCATGCTGGCCACCCCCACCCCACCCCTTTGCCATTTTGCTCTGAGCAGAACCGATCTTCTCAAAGGTCTCCAGGCTTCGTCCTGGCCTGGAGGGCAGCAGCCTTCAGGGTCTCATCGTGGGGGGCACTGTAGGAAGGTGGCTGTCTGGGGAGGCCCCCAAACCATGTTCCAGGTCCCCTCCATGTCAGGATAAGATTGAGGGAGGCTACTGTCTCTCTCTCTCTCTCTCACACACCACCCCCCCCCCCAAATGTGCACATACCCCGGATTTGCCTAGCAGGACTGTGAACTAGAACATACAGAACACGGCAGCCCGCACCCGACTTGCTTCAATTCAGGCTCCACAGCAGAGGGCAGCTGGAAGGAGACAAGGAACCATGTGACACCATATGACAATCTGGCTGGACACTGGACACTGGACCATCCTGGGGAACATTAAAAATTAAGCACACCTGAGCCCCATCCCAGACCACAGTGGCGGCTGCTAGGGGCCCAGGCTCAGGAGAGGCTGTTTGCAAAGCTCTCGGGTGATTCTGGAGTCATTCAGGGCTGAGAACCACTGCTGGCAACAATAAAAATGACTTGTTCAAAGGGAGGAGGCTAACTTATTTCACTGGGCCTGGGAAAGCTGGGTAGGAGCGGCACAGGGGAGAGGGCTGTTTGGGCCACGGCCCCCACCCCCCACACACACTCTGACTGAACAGCCCAACAAAACAAACTGTGGCTGAGGGCACTTCTCCAAACCCTACAGGGTGCTCCAGAGTGGGAGTCCCTAACATAAGAGGTGGGGAAATTGCCAGAATTTCCAGAAACTCATTCAATAAAATCAACTCCCCTCGTCCTGGCGTTTCCATCCGGGAGAACTTGTGAGACATGGAGGACTCTTTTTAGAGAGCCTGAAGGGGTCCAAGCTCCAAAGAGCCTGAATTTGTCCACCTCCTCATGACTTTTCAATTCCTCTCCTAGCCTATCCTGCCTGACAGGTTAGAAAGTTTTCAACAGAGGATTGCTTAGTTGAATTGAATCATCTCATGAAGATCAACATTTAAGAATGACTGAGTGACACGGAGACACTTGGTTCCCTGCGATGATGCGAGGAGAGATAATCTGTGCAATGTCTGAGCTCCTGGAAATGATGTTCATTAAAAGTATCTGTCTGCACACATACAACACTATGGACACAGACCCTTCCCACAGTATATTTCGTCTTTGCAGAATTCACTGGGAGGCGGGGGTTGGGCACAGAGAACCCAGGAGGCCTCTTGGCTATTACTCAGGCTGGCACTTCCCGTGAGAACAGACTTGGCATCACAGGTTTCAGACGTACCCGAGGCTCATCTCTTTGTTGATTTCAGGTTCTACATGCCCTTCAGGGCCTCTTGGGATCTCTGTGTTCTGAAAAGCGCACAAAGCTGGGCGCTGTCTCTTTAAATAGTAGAGGCCGAGACACTCTCAGGCCACCATGACATATCCCAGCATTGGACCAGCCCCTGAATAACTGGAAGGACGCCTGGTCTGGCTTTCAGTGACAGGGGGGACTACCAGGGACCGTCTGGGGAGCCTGACTGGAAGCGGCAGGGCTGGGCCTGCCAGCCGCTGGCCTCTCTGCTGCCCCGTGGGGAGGGCCTTGCCTTTGCATCCTTTGCATTTGACTGCAAGGAAAGCCGCCTGGAGGAAGGGGTTACACTGTTTGGTCTGGTGAGTTTTATTGCAAACTCTGCCCCTGGGGGGTGTGTACTTATGCTTTACAGGGTGTTTGTTGCCCAATCCCCCAGCCCCTGCAAACCACAAATGGAAAGGATTGCAGTGGAGACAGTGTGCTTGTGTTGGAATTGACTGGGGAGTCAGAGACTTTTAAAAAATCCTAGGTTAAAAGCTGGACAAATTGGCTATGTGGTGAGAATGACTGAGGGCACCTAGAAAGCCCCATATGTCAGATTTGAAGGGCGAACGTGGGCCAAGTGCTCCTTCCCTGCTGGGAAACAGCTCTGGATAGATGCCTAGCAGGTGATCTCCCAGGGGCAAGCAGGTCAGAGAGAAGCTTCCACCTGTGTGAGCCCTGGCCCGCCCTGGGTGTGGTGGAGCTTCGGAGCGCGGCACCCAGCGGCGGCATTTCACCCTCCACCGCCGGGAGGAAGCAGGGGAGGTATGAGGGCGGCTGGGTCCACGTGTCCCACAGCCCACAGAGTGGCTCTGACCTGGCGTTGACCAAGATGGTGGGTTCAAAAGAAAGAAAGGTATGAGCTGTGCCTTACAATGTGTACACTTTTGTAGGTGTATATACTTATTCTAAAAATGAGTTAAATAAGCTAACATTTGTAAAGTGCTTAGAATAGTACCGGGTACATAAATGTTGGTTAAATAAGTTAAATACAAGTCTAAATGGCATAAAACAAAGCAGTAACTCTTAGGGCAAACCTGACTATAAAACGACCCGGGAAGAAGAAAAACCACTTTCATTTCTTAGTCACACCACTTGCACGTGTACTTTCAACCCACGGGCATGTTGGGAGCGGTTTTAGTTCAGGGGCAGCCAGACTCGCCCCTGAACTTGTTGCAATGGTTAAATGTGCTATCCTAATAAGAATGGTGACACCTTACTGGGCACTGGCCCCTTACTATGTTTCAGACACTATGCTCGCTGCTTCATATCTTTTAAAATAGGCATTATTTGTCCTGTTTGCAGAGAGAAAAGGGAAGCTCAGTGGCCCTGAGCTGATTTTCCAAATTCATAAGCTCTGAGTAAGCAGGGCAGTCAGACTTGCTGAGCCCAGGGCATAACCACTGGACCCCACTGCCTCCCACAGAGCTTGGATACAGTCCCGCTAACGTGCCTGCATATGGTGGGCGTTGAACACACTTTTTACCAAGATTCTTCTTTTTAATCTGATAATATAATTTTTAAAAGATCATTGTTGGAACTTTTTTTCAAATAACTTGTTTTCACTTAAAGATAAGAATATGCAACTAACAGCTACTTTCAAATAGTATAATAACATGGAATGTCTTGAATCCTTTCGAGGGATGGTGTTTCATGACACAGTTCACTAGCAGGTAGGGGTGTGTGTGTGTGTGTGTGTGTGTGTGTGTGTGTAGTGCATTAGTAGGCAAAGATGTTTGACGCACACACTGGGCTCTCTGTGCACGAATCTCGGCTGTTCTTCGCCAGTGTCCTATTTGAGCGCATCTTCCCCACGCCTGGAAGGCCTAGCCTCTCTCCCTGGGACGCTGGGCGGACCAAGTTCAGGCACCAGCTATGAATCAGCTGATCCCCCTGGCTGCTCTTCTGCCACCTCAAATGGCCAGCTCCCCACCTCCTGGCAGGGACGCCAGCCCAGGCTGGGAGTCAAGCCAGGCAAACTTTGCCCAGAGCTTACCGGGTTGCGTTCTGGTTTTGCCCAGGCTAGAAGGAGCTGGACCCCAGGACAGGCTGTCCCATAGTTGCCAGGGCTCTCCTTCCACCTCCTAACCCCCATCCAAGAAGGGCCTGTTAGATCTGTCCACTCCAGTCCGAGGAACCCCACGCAGGGCCTGCGTGCAGACACCGATAGCATGCAGATGTGCCCAGCTAAGACGACAGGGCAGGCCGGGTGGGCCAGGACCAGAGGGGTTCGGGACATCTTCCAGCCTTCATGTCAGTGCCCCGCATCCCCCCCCGCCTTAGAAGAGGAATCCAGCCGCAGTCCCCAAGGGAACTCAGTCCACGTGAGCCCCCCCAGAAGCCCAGCGCTGGGCACCCGCGGGGGCAAACTCTGGCTAGCTTTTCCCACGCGGGCCGAGGTGGCGGAGGGACCAGTTCATTGGTCAATACTTGGTTTCCATGAACTCGGCGGAGGAGCGAGTGGGAGTGGAGGTGAGAAAACTCAGCTGCCTCCTAGTTTCTAGTAAAAGTCCCAGTGGTTTTGCAGAGATCAACTTTCTCCTGCGGCGCATTGAAGACCAAGTAACTGTCTCCTGCCCCCACCCGCCGCTTTCTGCCCTTTCTCCTCCCTGAGTCCCGCCCTCCTGCACACGCTGACCCAGGGACACACCCTATTGCAGCGACGCAGACAGGGCGTTGTTCCCGTTAAAGGGGATCGCCAGGAGCCTCCCTCAGGCCCCTCGCTTTGCGATCGCAGCCCCGCAGCGCAGCTGTCTTTGGAGACGCCAGCAGCTTAGAGGACGCGTCGAGTTTGTGCCTGAGGCCACTCTGAGGATCGGGGACAGCTATCCCTTTGGGCTGTAAGTGCTTCGGTAGGGAAAGTGGAGGCGATGGGGGAGAAACGTGGGCATCTTCTGTCGATGGTGCCAGAAAGCGCGGAGCAGGCGCAGGCTTGAGGCTGGCCAGGTCTCCTAGCTTTCTGCGCCGGGCGCGGGCAGACAGACCACGGTCTGCCCCGTACGGCTCCAGCGGGGTTTGTAGGGATCCAGAAGGGGGTGCCGTGCGGTCTGTAAAACGTGAGGGGCGCGGGTCAGAACACCGGGCAGGGGCGGACCGGTTTTCGCCGCGCTGGGATGGGAGCCGCTCAGGGACTCAGCCGCAAACGCGGGCCTGCCATAGCTCTCCCGCGGGTACAGCAGTTCCCCACTTTCCAGCTACACGCCCGACCATCCTCCTCTCGCCCCGCCCGGGCACCAGGAGCCACTGGACTTCATTTAAACCTGGGAGACATCAGAAAACTGTGCTTATCTCTTCTTGTACATTCCTGGATTTCTTTGAATGTGTTGCTTGTGGAGGGGAGCGAAGGGGCCTGGGACTGGGTACTTTAAAAACCGACTTATGAAACGTCTCCTTGGCCCAAGACTCCATCCTGAAATGGTCCCCAAAGATGCAGCCAGTCTCTCATCTGCACACACCCTCCAACAGGCCATCCCGGCCTTCAGTTCCCCCGAGGTCTGGAAAATGAGGGGCGAGGGCCGCACAGCCGCGGATCGAAGATGTCCTGCAGACAGTGGCCCTGCTGTGCTCCTGGGACTCAACCCTTCGCCCTCCGCCTCTCCTTCCCACCGAACATTTGCTCCGCTCCATCCACATGGGCGGCTTACTTCACGAGACACCCTTCAGGGCTTAAAACGGGAAAGATACAATTGGTTTTTTCAGGAAAGAGTTCCCAGCCCCAGGTCTGCCGGACCGGGTAGCATCCCGGCTCCGCGCGCAGCGGGCTCCCTGGGGCCTCGGGGGTAAACTTGGGGCGGGCCGGGAGTGGTGTCCCCGCCCACGGGGGCTACCCGGGGCCGCGCGGGCGGGGCGGGGGGGTGGGCGGGAAGCGCAGGGTCCTAGTACCTCTCTCTGGCCACGCTTCCCTCCCCGCACGGCCCTGCGCCCTCTCCGAAGCCTCCAGCGGCTCTCGCTGGCTGAGCTGGGGCCAGGACGTCTCCCCGGCGCTGGCAGAACTGAGTGGAAACTTGGAGACTCACGGAATGCGGAGCGCGCGGGGATCTGGGAAACCAACTCCCTGCGGCGCGCTCTCCCTTCGAGTCTGCCCGCCCCAGGCGTCCCCCGGCCTCGCGCAGACATCTGGGCGCCTAGCCCCTGGCCCCCACCTTCACTCCGTGAGGGAACGTGCGCTCTGTCCCCTTCCCCAAGTTGGGCTGTCCCGGGGAAGCGCCCGGGGTGGGTGGAGGCGGGCTGTGGCCTCTGCTCGTCATTCTGGAAAAACCTCTCCTCTTGGACTGACTGACCACATTTTTTTTTTTCTCCCCAAAGCAAAAGTTGTTCTGTCGCAGAGGGACCACCCCCTCCAACACCCTCCCGCCCCGCAGTGCTGGGCGGGCATCCTGCGGTCCGCGGCTGCCCCCTCTCGGCCAGCCGTGGGAGGCGGGCGGGCGGGCGCGGCGCCAGGTCCGGGGAGCGCAGGGACCTCCCTCCGCACTGCCCCACTCCCTCCCTCGCTTGGGCCAGTCGGTTCGGCCTCACGTCCCGCTTTGGCTCTCTCCCCGCAGGCAGAAACTCCACTGAGCAGAACTTGCCGTCAAAATGCTCCTCCTGTTGCTGAGTATCATTGTCCTCCACGTCGCCGTGCTGGTGCTGCTGTTCGTCTCCACCATCGTCAGTGTGAGTGCCCGGGGGGCGCGGGGGCGCGGGGCGCCCCGGGGCTCACCCAATGCTGGGGCCTCCGGAGGCCCGATCCCACCTGAGGCCCGGTCCCCAGGTGCCCCTCAGGCCCCCTCTAGCTCAGGACGGCGCGGTTATTTGCAGACGAGAAGCCTCAGATGTCCCAGGGCGTTTTGCAGTTTCTGGCAATCTGCGCCTTTTCAGTTGTTTTGAGAAAACTAGAGCAGATGAAGGGGTAGGAAGGAAGCAGTCCCTGGACTGCGTTAGCGGCCCAGGCCTCTCTTTAGGGCCAGTGATTTCGGTGGAGGTCCAAGCCTCCTAGACCTTTACTTGGTAAAGTTGTTTAGCATTTTTCCTTGATGCAAGTTTGTTGAGGAAGAGGAGTATTTAGGAAGTTTTGCTTTTTTTTCCAAATGGCATGGGTCCGATGGGCGGCTTAGTCCACAAAACGCCCTTCAAGGACTTAAAGTTGGGATGTTAAAATCGGCTTTTTCAGAAAAGACTTCACATTCCCCGGTCTGCTTCATGATGTGGACGCAGCACCTTCTGAGTCACGTCCCCAGTGCGTGGACAGGCCGAGGGGGGAACCCGAGTGACAGAGCCATCGGCGTCCCATCGATTAGACGCTCAACGTGTTTTCTGGGCTGTGAAGATGGGCACAGCCCTGGGCAGCCGGGTGCTGCGGCTCTGACTTCTCAGCCCGAGGCAGACCCCAGGCGTGATATTCTTGCCTGTGTCAAAGGTTGAGAGATCATGTGGTCTGTGAAAAATAATTATGTCCGGGATTGGTGAATTTTATAAGAATCCAGGTTTATCATTTATAAGCATTTAACATTTTAATTGTGCCTGATAATCTTCTCAGATCAGTGGGGATGATCAATGAGGAAGTAGGCTCCCAGAGGGGGTGGGCGGGGAGCGACACCCAGGAGATCCAGGGAGTGGGCCGGCTTGAGCGTGGGGGCCCGGGCGGCTCCCTCTATTACAGGGCACACCTCCACGCACAATAGGAACGCATGTGTGTGTGTCTTTGTGTGTGTGGTAGTTTTCCACCTACAAAGTGCTTTTTACTTGCCCAAACTGGCCTCCTCCTCAACACAAGGTCTGAGCCAGACCAGCACCTCTCTCCTTTCTCCAGCGTGATCGTGGCCTCTGGCTGGGCAGCCCTGGGCAGGGCAGGGGCGGGCCGGGCGGACAGGTGGATGAGGCTGCTCTTGGCGTTCCCCTGGGCTTCTCCCTCCCCTTCCAGTCCCTCCTCACTGCTCAGCTGATGTCGAATGTCCGGTTCTTCCCAGGAATGGATCGTGGGCAATGGGCATGCGACCGACCTCTGGCAGAACTGTAGCACTTCTTCCTCGGGCAGCGTCCGCCATTGTTTCTCCTCTTCAGCGAACGGTGAGACTGGCCCTTTGCTCCACAAGCTTGTCCTTCTCTATCTGCAGCATGTTTCTTAGCCCAGAGCTGGAAGCCCTTGTTTTTGGAAGACGTAAGCTTGAAAGCTGTTGCTGGTGTTGGGTGGAATGTGTCTGGGGCCATGAATTAAGACAAAAGGAGAGGGGGTGGTAGGTTCACTGGATAAGCTAAGATCCTGGGTAGGATTCTACATTCTCAGTACCTACAGGATGCCCTTGAGCTCCCTCTCATCGCTTAGGACAGTACTTCTTGTGAGTCAAGACATGTGGACACAGATAAATAGTAAAGGAGTCATAATGGCAAAAACTGGGGTAACCCCTTGGCACTTTGGTTTGGTGGCTGTCTCGCTGCAGAAATGTCCTTCCTCTTCCTGCTGTAATGACAGTGGGGCTGTCCCAAGAAGAGTTGGGCCAGCGTTGGTCCCCCAGGTACCAAACTGCCTCTCCAGGTCTTAGACTCAGTGATGCCATTTAGTAGCAAAACCTTTGAGTGTTTCCTCGTGCCAGATGGGGACTTGAAGCTATTTGCAAAACCCTCCTTTGGACCGGCAGGGTCCTCTCTTCAGAAGACTGTGCTCCTCCTCTGTCCTCAGCATCATTGCCTGGGAGATATTGGAAACCAGGCTCACTTGGGTTTAAGTAAAGGGCTAATTGGCAGTGGGAGGACCTGCTAGATCCCTCCGGCTCTCGGAGAGGAAGGAGTGCTCGGCCCTTGCGACGGGACAGAACAAGCGGAGGTGAATAGGATGCGTTCTTTTTGGCGGCTGGGCGATGGTCAGTGGTAACGTGGATTCTTGAAGGAGCCTCAGTGCTTGGTGTTGAGGGCTCGGGGGGCCTGGCTCGGCATGCGCCTGGGTTCCAAGGGAAGTGTCCTCGGCCCGGAGAGGGCAGTAGGTATAGGTATGACAGTGCTTGGCTGACCTCACGGGTTTAAAAGACTGAGAGCCTGCAGGTTTCGATATGGCTGCAGTGACTCATAAATCCAATATTTCTGTCGAAGGCGTTATACCCAAAGGAAGAAACCAGTTTAGATCCAGCTCCTCAAAGCAGGCAGTGAAGGAGCCCTTCGTTCTGGCTTCGCACCATCCAGTGTCTTTGCTGGGCTTTGCCTCTTGTGGGCGTCACACCTACCAGCACCTAAGACATCTCGAATCTCAGCATGAAGGTGCTGAATTAGTTACTTGGTAGTTTATATGGAGAGAATAGGCAAGGAGTAGAAAACCCACTTTATGTTTCCACTTTCTGGGGCAGGGGAAGAAAAGCAAGGCCCAGTGCTTACTGAAGCAAGCAGTCCCTCATCTTTTATCGAAGTGTGTGAAGGCTATTGCATTAAACCATCCTACAGGTTGCATAGTGGGGTTGCACGGTGAGTTGCAAGTAATTACTCATGAGGGCCTGAGAATCTGAGATAGTACTGCTTGTCCCCAAAGCCACAGTATCCGGTGTCTCCCCCTTCAGGGTCAGCTGAAATGTCCTGAAAACGCAAACGGGAGTCTACTCACCCGCTACTGACACCTGGTGGTTACAAGTGGTGACTCGGTCTGGAAAGCAGGCTTTCCCTGAGGCCAAGCCCTGTCCACCAGCAGTTCCCAAGTGGCATGTGGCCATGCGGGGTTGGCATGGAATCCTGGACACTTCGGCCTGGAAGGAGGCAGATCAGGCAGGCATGTTGAAACCCAGCTGGGTTTCGACAGAAATGAGGTGGCGGAGGAGCAGCTATGTAAACCACACTCACACCGTCTGCAGGAAGGAAAGCAGAATTTGCCTCGTGGCCTATTATTGGCCTGCGTTCCACATCTGCAGTTTTCAATACCATTCTTCTGCGCTAGAAGCAGATCTCAGAGAGGCACTCATGTTATTCAGTCAGAAAGCTTATCTCTCAACTGGCTCTTTATATACCAGATGCATCTGAATAGGGTTTGTTTATGATGACTTTGGGGTTTCTAGCGTGGTTACTTTCTGTGGGGGTCCTGGAGTGTGGGTTCTCCTCACCCGTGTTCTCAGGGCATTTTGAGGGAATCTGGACACACCCTCAGACAGACTGGTGTTTGGACCTGGGCTCATGTACTAAATTAGAAGTTTCCATTTCAGCGTCCCGAGTAGTCATTATCTGTGATGACGTCTTGCTGATGTTGATGGGTCAGCATGTGTTACAAACTTTGGCTCTGATGGGGCTGAATCCTCTGGGCCTTTGTTGCCTTTTTGATTGGGTTTAACAATTTCCGTGGCCAACAATAAGGTGAAAAGAATGTGTAACTTTAAAAAATTAGACTGTCTTTATAAATTAACTCTATCAATTGCAAACCATTTACCTTGGTCTTAATTTGCACTTGCAATATTTGGAACATGCTTTTTATGTTATTTAAATCAAAAGTAATTTGTTACTGATATGATTTATGCAGAATATGTTGCAAGTGTGTTCTGTGCAAATACATCGGTTTACATGGCTTGTTATTTTCTCTGATGGGCTCATTGTGTGGAGCCAGGGCGCTGCGCCTCTCTGGGGGTTGCCATTCACTTTGTTTTTTATATGAATGGCGCCCCTTGCCAGGTTAACGGTATGGCAGTCAAACACCTATGTGATATTGTTGGAGGGAAGCGTACCAGCTCTTTCCCCCAAGTTGCCTCTTTATTAGAAGTGGTTTTAGATTTCTTACAAACTGCCCTCCACTCTGCCTGCTTTTCCGTATTTAGACTTTATTTACAGACTTTCTGCCCCCATCCGGATCCTGGCTGCAGGTAGAGGTGAAAGAGGTTTCCTGGGGGCACATGCATGGCGACCTTGCATGGCATGCCTCTGGCGTCCAGGGAATCGAAGGATCTAGGAAACGGGCACTTTGCCTTTGACGGTCCTGAGCCTGTAGGGGCCGTCAGGAGGTGCATGGAGAGGATGAATCACTGTGAAGGCAGCTTAGGCCAGATGCCCAAGGAGGGGGCAGGCAGGCAGTGCCAGAGTTCAGGGAGGAAGTGGAGGGAAGTCTTGCGTGGGAGGCGGAATTTGATCCATCCTCCAAAGCATGGGCAGGGTAAATAAATACAGGCAGAGAGGAGGATATTCCCTGTCGAGGCAATGGCGTGCCCTAAAACAAGGGGAAAGCAACACAGGGGACGTGATTAGCCAGCTGGCTAGTGTTCCTGTTAGGATTAGGATTCATTGCATACAACAGAGCATCCTTGAATGACAGTTGTTTAAATAAGATAGTTTATTTCTCTCTCTTTTAAAAGAAGTCTGGAAGGAGGCAATCCTCAGAGAGTGAGACAGTTTCATGAAGCTGTCAGGTACTTTCTCGCATATTTCTTTGCCATCTCTTGAGTTTGGCCCTCATCCTCGTGGACCTAAAGGCTGTCAGAGCTCCAGCCATTTCATCTATGCGTCAAGCAATAGGGTGAAGAGAGGAGGAGGAGGAGGCACCCCTTCCCTTTTAATGAAACATGTCCAGATGGACCACACACTTGTTTCTGTCTCATACTGGAACTTAGTCACACAGCCACACCTAGTTACCAGGGAGGCTGAGAATGCAGTTGTCTGTCCTTGTGAGAGGCATGGCTTCTCAATTCATACAATTCGTACCAAATTCACCCTTTGACAGTTCCTCGTCCCGTAGCGAATGCCGCTGCACCGGCCAGCAAGCCCTCCTCGACGTGCCCCCTCTCCTTTCTCAGAGTCGCCGCAGGCCCGTCTTCATCTCGTGCCGGTCGTCAGAGCGACTGCGCAGCCTGCTAACTCCTAGCCTGCGTGCTCCTTTGTAACTCATTTTTCATATTGAATCCACGGTGATATTTTAAAAAAATCCAAACCTAATCCTATTACTCTTGAACTAAAACCTTTCAGACAGCCCTTATGGGTCTTAATCTTCAGATGAAAATCTTTACCAAGGCCTATAGAGATCTACCTGAATGATGTCTTCCTGTTTCCCATGAAATCGCATCTTCCCTCTCTCCTCCCTTTCATCTTGGAATTTCAGCCTTCTCTTAGTTCCTTGACTGTGAACTTCCTGCCTCCGGATTCCCTCTCTTCCTCTGTTCTTTCACTCAGAACTATTCACTGAACACCTTCCAAGTACCAGACACCATTATAGACACTGAGGATACAAGAGTGAGTAAGGGCTTCTATTTTCCTGGGTGAAACTGTCAATAAACATGGGTAACTTGGAGCACTGATAGGAGCTAAAAAGAGAATAAAACAGGGTAATGTGATAAAGAGGGACTGGGGTGCGGCTGGGAGGGAGGCGTCTTGGAAGAGTGACTCCCGGAGATCAGAAGTTGGCCATCGGAGCCCCTCAGAGACGGTCCAGGCCGAGGGACCACCCAGGGCAAGGTCCCTGGGGAGGGACGGCGCCTGGCTGAGCTGAGGAGCCGAGGGCAGGCTGGGATCGTGGGGGCAGAGAGCAAGGGGTGGTGTAGAGGGCCAGCCCTGAGGGCCTTCTAGACCCCAGTGAGGAGTTTGGTGCATATGGATTTCATTTGACCTGCTCCGTCTTATATGTATCTCTTAACTCTCTGTTTTATTCCAAGTTAGAATAACAGTCCAGAGCACTTATAAGGCAGAATATATGAGAAATCTTACAAGGCAGAATCACACCAAGATAGTTCCCGTGATTATCCTAGTCGTGGATTCTTGGCACTTTGGTTGTGTTCTTCTGCTGCCTTACTCATTTTCCCTGTTGAGATCTTTTCACAACCAGAAAATAGTTATGAGCAGTAGTTTAGGTTAGGAGGAGAGTACTGAGTATCAGGTAGGTTCTGTCCGCCTTGGCTGAGGAAGCGGAGTGTCAGGGCCTGGCAGGTGGGGCTCAGCTGGTAGCATCCTCAGTGGACGTCCCTCCAGACACAGGCGAGGCCAGTCGCTGGAGCCTCGGTTTCAAACTAATAAGGTCTGAGTGGCTCTGGCTGAGATCAGGGGGCGCACCAAGCCTCCTCCCCAAGTCCTGAAGGAAAGAGCCCACCTTCCTTGGGTCCCTACACCACGGGCGAGGTTAAAAT